TCCCCGTCGGTTCGGTTCAGGGGCCGCCCGGGTTCCGGTTCGGTTCCGGTTCTGGTTCGGTTCGGTCGTCGCCGGTTCGGTTCTGAATGAATTCGGTTCGGTCCGGTTCGGTTTTCTACGTTCCTGGTTTTGGACCGGTTCGGTCCGGTTCGGTCACGGTTCCCGGTTCTCGGTTCGGTGCGGTCCCTTCATGCCTCAGGCAGAGCGTTCGCTGATCGGTGTTGAGTCGGGCATGTCCCTCTGCAAGATACTCAGGATAGTAAAAAATGGTCTGGTGACGACGGTTTGAGCTTGTTTGACTCCGTTTGACCACTTGTTGACCATGCTTTTTCATGTTGCTTCCAAAGTCCGCCTTCAGGAGGACATGCCCGACCTAAGACTGGTGTTAAGTCGGGCCTGTCCCCCTACAGGGGGATTTTCGACGGAAAGTAAAAAATACCCCAAAAATAGTCAAAAAGTATTCCAAGAATAGTCTGGGGACTATTTGTTGAGAATTGTTTGACCTTTTTGGGGCATTGTTGGGGTATTTTTTTCCATCGAAAATCCCCCTGCAGGGGGATAGGCCCGACATAAGCCTAAGACTGGTGACGAGGACGGCTGCGCCTCGCCCCCGCCCTCCCCCCGCGCAGGAATGTCGAGAAGGAGCTGGGGAGGATAACCCTGAGCAAGCTGAAAGAGATGTTCCCCGAGGCTCGGGGGAGGAAAAGGTACCCATAACCCCTACCTTTCCCTCGTTTTCCCCTTCTCGGGCCTCCTCGGGGTGGAAACGGTACCCATATCCCCTACCTTTCCCTCGTCGTCCCCTTCATTGGGCCTCCTCGGGGGCCCTCGTCGCCAACGCTGGATTCGCTTCTAGATTCTGGTCGGAGCGCACCCTGGGAGAGGTCTGGGGAGTAGCGGTACCGGTACCTTTTGATTTCGGTACCGGTACCTTTTGATTTCCGTAGAGGTCGTCAGCCAGCTCCAGAGAGAGCGGTGCTTCGGTGTAGACGACGACAACATTGATGGAAGAGCTCTACGAGCTCCATCGATGAAATTCACGAAGAAGGAGTTCATCGATATGCTCATGCGACAGGAAGGGAGGGGGGAGGGGGCGGAGGAGGACGACGACGCCGACGACGACGGCGATGGCGACGAAGGACGAAGAGCAGAAAGTGCGTCCGTCATGCACTCGTAAGAGCAGGGAGGAGGGAGGACGGAATTGATTGAATGCAAACGCAAGACGCAGACAGACGGCACTCGATCCAACTGCTAGGAATGAAAAAGCTACAGACCGAGGACGGCCCCAAAACACGGCGCAGAGCGCACCTTCGAGGCTATTGCCGTTGGTCGAGGTCCCGAAGAAACCCCAGCGCAGCGCAAGGAGATCTCGTCGTCGCGGCCCGAGGGAAAGGGAGAAGGAGATTTTTCTGAAGACCAGAGGGCTTCCGAGAAGCCCAGCCGCTTTCTGAGAAAGCCTGGTCCGCCTCCCCCGCCCGCTCACCGCCGAGCCATGAGGCCCCCTGCCCAGCCTCCCCGGCCGCGGCCTCGCTGCGGGCCCTCCTGCCCAGGGAGCACGGCCTCGGCAGGAGCTCCACGGCCTCGCAGGGGGGGGGGGGGGCAGCTGTCAAGTCACCCCCGGGGGCGCGGGGGCGACCTCGCTGCGCGCGCCGCACTGCCTCGGCCGGGGAGGCGCCCTTCTCTCCGCGGCAGCGGCGCCAGGGCCGCAGCACGTCGCGCAGCAGCGGGGCGCCGCGCACGACGCCCGGTGGCCCAGCGTCTGGCCGCCCCGCGGTCGGCACGACGGCGCCCTGTGGGCGGCGGGGCGGCGAGGTGCGCCCCGAGCGGGGCGGCGCCGCGGCCTGACGGTCTCCCACGGGAGGGCGGCGGGGCGGCGAGGTGCCCCGAGCGGGGCGGCGCCGCGCGCGACACGGCCTGGGCTGCGGAGTCGGCGTGGTGGAGGCGCCGAGGGGGGGTCGAAGCTGACGGCGACGACCTAGGACCAGCTCGAGGCACCAACCACCGCGCACGGGCTAGGCGAGTGCGAGTGCGAGTGCGAGTGCGAGTGCGCTTCCGTCCGTGTGGACGATGAGGCGTCAGGCTGGCGGCCCGTCTACTGACGCTACGAGCTCTGACGAGCTCGACAGCTTGCCTAAGGAAAGGCTAAGGGCGACTGCCGACTCGCCCGAGGTCAGGCCGTGCAGTCCTTGGCCAGACCACCTGCGGCCGTGTCGGCAGGTTGCGCGCCTCTGGGCCATCCCCGTCTTCGTCCACGGCCTCCGTGCCGTGCCATGGCCGGGAGACGGGCACCGACGGTCAGTCGATGAGATGTCAAGGGCACCACGATTTCCTTGGGGGCGGCGGGTCGCCGTCGGAACGCCGCAATCGAGAAGAGTCGCCCGCAGAGACTTGCCAAGGCCGACGACTAGCCTCTCGTCGATAGGGAGGGGGGCCCCCTGGACGGGCGCCTCAGCAGCGGCCAACTGGGGGGAGGGGGGCTTCTTCGACCCGACCTCTGGCCGAAGGGGTGCCCTATGCCGCTCTTCGCCCGCCAGAGTCCGCTTCTCCGGCTACCCGAAGCGCTCGGCGGCGAGCCCAGGGAGGACGTGAGAGGGGGTGGGCCTTCCAGACGGCGGCGGGTCTCCTCAGAAGCCCTCGCGCCTCCTGGGAAGCTGCCCGTGGCTTCGCGGAAGGCCCACAGGGCTTCTCGGAAGGCGCGGGCTTCTGAGAAGCTCCGCCGCCCTCTGAGGACGAGGCCTGCCCCCTCCCCACGTCCCCCGACGGCCTCGCCGCCGCAGGGCAGGTCCCCGTCGGAGGGGCTTGTGCGCGCCCCTCGAGCGCCCTGCCCGCCGCGGTGGCCAATCGCGGGGGCGGTCACACCGCGCCCGGCGGCCTGGCCCGACGAGGCGCCGCGACTTCCCCCTTTCGCCAGGGGGCGCCCGGGGCGGCGCTCCTCCTCCTCCTCCTCCTCCTCCTCCTCCTCCTCCTCCTCCTCCTCCTCCTCCTCCTCTCCTCCTCCTCCTCCCTCCCCGCCTCCTCCTCCTCCTGCTCCTCCTACTCCTCCTCCTCCTCCTCCTCCTCATCATCATCATCATCATCATCATCATCATCATCATCATCCTCATCCTCATCCTCATCCTCTCCTCATCCTCCATCCTCATCCTCATCCTCTGCCTCCTCCTCTTCCTGCTCCTCATCCTCATCCACCTCCTCCTCCGCCTCCTCCTCCCTCCTCCTCCTCCGCCTCTTCCTCCTCCTCCTCCTCCTCTGCTGCCTCCTTCTCTTCTCCTCCTCCTCCTCCTTCTCCTCCTCCTTCTCCTCCTCCTCCTCCTCCTCATCATCCTCCTCCGCCTCCCTCCTCCCCCTCTCCTCCTCCTCCTCCTCCTCCTCTGCCTCCTCTTCCTCCTCCTCCTCCTCCTCCTCCTCCTCCTCCTCCTCATCATCATCATCTCATCATCCTCATCCTCATCCTCATCCTCATCCTCATCCTCATCCGCCTCCTCCTCCTCACCATCCTCGTCGTCCTCCTCCTCCTCCTCGTCCTTCTCCTCCGCCTCCTCCTCCTCCTCCTCCTCCAGCCGCTGTCCCGGCTCGAGGGGCCCTGGGAGCAGTTACCAGGTGACTGCGAGCCCCTCACCTCCGGGACTGCTGCTAGACGCGCCGTCTTTGGCAGCCCGCCATAGTGCTGCCTCGCGGCCGTGCAGGCCCCGTGCGCCACGCGGGGCGGGCGTGTGAGCCCGCGTGGCACCGACGGGCCAGGGCGAGCCGCTCGGTCACCCGCGTCATTATCCGCCTTGCGGCGGCCAGGAAGTTGTTACAACGTCATCACAGTCGTCAGCGACGCATATCCGCTCGGCCAGAACCATGGTAAAGTCGTCCGTGTCATGGTCTCCACCAGGATCTCCATGGGCATGCTCAGTGTGCTTCTGCTCCAACTGGCACGAGCGGGTGGACTGCCGTCAGTGTGGCACGCAGAAGCCCGAGATGCCGCCGTGGCGCCGCCCTGCCCGACGCTCAGACAGTGCTCCTCCTACTCGAGATGCGGCCCGTGGCAAGGGCAAGGAGCGGGACAAGGGCAAGGGTGGGAAGGACAAGGCTGTGCGTGCACTGCGCAATGCCTCGCCGTCTCGCGGTATCCTCACCAACGCCAACATGGACAAGGACAAGGAGAAGGACCAGAGCGTCTTGCAGCAGGAGTCTGGGACCTCGACGTCCGACGACTACAGGTCTGCCAAGAACCTATTGCACATTCGGCCCGCATTACCACAAGATGCGCGCCAACACCCTCGGTGGAGGGCGCCGCCTGGGGCACAGGCGTCCGACGTCGAGGTGGGGGCTTACAAGGAGCAGGTCTCGGCGAGACTCGAGGCCTTGAATACGATTATCCTCGACAGGCTCGACGCTTCCGAGGACTACGACGATGTTGTGCTCGAGTTTGCCACGACGCTGACAATGCTGTTCAGTGCGAGGGGCCTCAAGGCCCAGCTTGGCAAGCAGGAGGAGGCCCAGGAGCGGGCCGAGAAGCGCTTGCAGAAGGCTCAAGATGTCCTGGACGACTTGCAGACGCAGGTGAAGCAGGCCAACATCGATGTCGAGACAGCCCGTCGCGATCTCGAGCACATGAACAAGACGATCACGGAGCTCAAGGGCCTGATCACGGCCGAGGCGGAGGCTGCCAAGCGCGCGGCCGAGGCCCAGCCGAGCCCTGGGCTTGGCGCTGCTGGGACGCATGCAGGACCTCCTACGGCCCCTGGTGCGCCTGCGGCTCAGGGCGGGCATGCGCCGTCGCTCACAGGGCTTGGTGCGTTGGCAGCACACCAGGCCCAGATCTCGGCCATGATGGCGCAGCTGCAGGGCTTCCAGGGCGTCATCCACCAGCTGCAGCTACATGCGGGAGGAGGCCTGGACACCCCTGTGCCACAGCAGCGCGTGTCCTTCGCGGCGGAGACGAATGGCGGTGCTGCGGCTGGAGCGGCGGCGGCTGGCGCAGCGGCGCCGGCAGCCCAGGCCCCTCCCGCGACGGGCGGACCCGCCCTTGCGCCTGCGGGCGCGCCCCCTCCAGCTGCTCCTGCGGCAGCTGCGGAGGCGGAGGCAGCCACGGCATCGGCGGCTGCGGCGGACGGCGCAACGGCTCGCGCAGGCAGCCGCTCGCCCAGGCGCGAGACGAGCCTGCCACGCCAGGACGCCCGCCGCAGCGCCAGCCAGCAGAGGGAGCCCAGCCGTCAGCGTGGACGGACGGGAAACAAGTAGCGGCCGCCGCTCAGCCTGGAGGCCCCGACGACCCTCGTGATCCTCATCTGACCTCCTCTGACCAGTGGCCGCGAATCCAGGCCCGAGGTTTTGAATTTCTACCTGTCACAGCTGCCGTTGAGTTGATTCGACGGCCTTGGCCATTTCAAGTTCATCAGCTGTGCGAGAGTGCTTTGTCAGAGTACCTCCACCCAGCCACTGTGGAGGTACTGCAGCAGCATGTACCATACCTCCCCTCCTCCCCCCATCTCGTGTCCTGATCTATACTGATGGAACAGGTGGGGCGCAGCAGGCTGATATCTCGTTTGTTCCTGCATCGGCAGTGGTTATTGTGTATGAGTACTGCGGTGGTTCTCGTGCGCTCAAGGGAGTGATCTCGGACCTGGTTCCCGAGGATGTGATGGGTCTCTTCCCCTCCAACTTCCACTCTGACACGGCTGAGATTATTGCAGCGGCCTGGGCCCTTGCCTGGATTGCACAGGCTGGCTCGGGCAACACACCGATAGTGCTTCGACTCGACTCGACGCGGACTCTTGTGAAGGGTACGAACAACTTCGAGGTGGGCAACTCTAGGCTTTTGTGTCTCAGGCTCCTGGCCCAGTCCTTGTCGGTCTCCTGCACCTTGGATGGGGAGCACGTTCATAGTCATCGGGGCGAGTGATACAATGAACTCGCTGACACGCTTGCGCGGCTGACGGGCATGGGCCTGATGCCGGGCATGGAGTATATGCCTTTTGCTTATTATGTTTGACTCGTCTGCTCTTGCGTGGGCGTGGCTATATGAGGAGAACGCCATAGGTTTGCCGTCCATCACAGAGTCTAACGCCTTAAGGGTCACAGATGTGG